CCAATACTACATAGGTTTAACGTTGCCGCAGTAACTGAGGCAGTTAATTCATATATTTTGAGTAATTGATATGCATCATCACAACACTGTTCAGTGACAGTGAATCAAGACTTAAAGTGTGAAGCAGAATCTCTGACTAGTTTAAAACATGAATTTGTATGTTATGTCAGTCTGTGTTGTATCATCACTATGATATTTTACTGTGCAGCTTTATTTTGCCTAATATTGTAAAAAAGAGTCATAGAGGACTGAAATATTGTTATTCTTAGCCATCTGAAAGATATTAAAGTTACTAATGTCTCATGAAGGCTTTGCCTTGCTCCAGAGACTAATGACTCGAGTACACTGAGTATCAAGTTGTAAAAGAATCAGATTTCTAGTACTGAAGGAGACAGTAATAATTATCTTTTTCATCTCCCCACCTCATTTTTTAAATTGAAACAATTCCAGCACAAAACAAAATTGCTGCACTTGTGGAGCTTACATTTTGGTGATTGAGATGGTCAATAAATAAATACACGAACAAACACGTAGTATCACCTTGAGTAATGGTTAATTTGGAGGAAAAAGCAGAATTCTAAGGGGATGGAGAAGGACCAAGATCAAGATAGGAACAGAAAGGATTTATCTGAGGAAATAAGATTAAGCAAAGATATAATTCAAGGGAAAGAGTGAGGATGTGTGATTGAAGAAGAAAAATAAAAACATTGCTAATTATCAGAGAAATGCAAATCAAAACTACAAAGAGGTATCACCTCACACCAATCAGAATGGCCATCATTAAAAGTCCACAAATGACAAATGCTGGAGAGGCTGTGGAGAAAAGGGAACCCTCCTACACTGTTGGTGGGAATGTACTTTGGTGCAGCCACTATGGAAAACAGGAGGGAGATTCCTTAAAATTTTTAAGAAAATTAAACTAAAAATGGATTTACCATATGATCCAGCAGTCCCATTCCTAGACATATATCTGGAGAAAACTCCAGTTTGAAAATATACTCGCACCAGTGTTCATGGCAGCATTAGCAACAATAGCCAAGACATGGAAGCAACCTAAATGTCCACTGAGCGATGACTGGATAAAGAAGATATGGTGTATACGTACATTGGAATACTACTCAGCCATAAAAAAGAATGAAATAATGCCATTTGCAGCAGCATGAATGGACCTGGAGATTATCATACTAGGTGAAGTAAGTCAGACAGAGAAAGACAAATATCATATGGTATCACTTATATGTTGGAATCTAAAAAAAAATGACACAAATGAATTGATTTACAAAACAGAAACAGAAAACAAATTTATGGGGGAGGGTATAGCTCAAGTGGTAGAGTACATAACATACACAAGGTCCTGGGTGCAATCCCCAGTACTTCCTCTAAAAATAAATAAATAAGTAAACCTAATTACCTCCCCACTAAAATAAATAAATAAAGTGCAACACATTTGAAAAAAGAAATTTTTTTAAAGAAAATAAATTTATGGTTACCAAAGGGGAAAGGGATAAATTGGGATTTTGAGATAAGCAGATATTACTATATATAGGATAGGTAAACAACAGGGTCCTGCTGTATAGCACAGGGAAGTATATTCAACGACTTGTAATAACTTACAATGAAAAAATATGAAAAAGAATGTAAATATATGTATGACTGAATCACTAAGCTGTACGCCAGAAACTAACACAGCATTGTAAATTGACTATACTTCAATTAAAAAACAACAGGACAGTGAATATTTGGCCAAGTTGTACAGTTGCTTTTTTATTAGTAAAAGTCTAGAATGAATTGTTTATTGATTATTTACTTGTCATCAATTAAGAGACTTGGATTTTTAACTAGTTCTATTAAATGCGATGATTTTGAGTAGGACACTTCATTTTACTTGATCTTAATTTTCTTGAAAACAAGGTTAGGGCTAAATCTCTAAAGGAGTATATAAATAATTTTTTTAGTGCTGTACATACTGAGATTATGCATTTCTGGAATCATTAATAGCCAGAAATTTGGGGGATTCTTTGGTACATGGGTTAGTATGTTCACATTGAGACTTCCCTGTTGAATTGGCATCTTTCATTCATTCATTGTAAGGTTTAGTATAAAATGATTTTCACTGTTTTCTTTGAAGGTATACATATAAACCTTAATTATATAGTCAGTTCTTTTATTGACTTCTTAAGTGTGTAATAATTTGAAAACTTAAGTGCTGTACAGACAAAAGTAGTTTTGACACAGTGTTGATGACATTATATTCTTTCAGATTTATTGCACTATGACTCCCTTCAGAGTTGGATTTGTGGAAGTTTTTGCAGCTTGACCTTAATTTTAAAATATTTAAATAAATGGGTTACATGTTACCTAAAAGTGGTTGTGTAGTAATTATAATAAAATAGCTCTGAAACAGGTAAGAAAGTGTGGACTTTGCTTAGTTTGTGTTATAAATAAAAATAAGTATAAGTTACCCTTTTCTCTTAATTATTCTAGTCCTTACAGTCTATACCATAGAATTTGGAAATTAGTGTTTCTGATATTTAGGATTATTTTATCTGTTTTAGAAGCATTTTCCCAATAAATCATATATTCTTTGAGAACAGATTTGTATAACGAGATGCTTAGCACTGATTGGTTTAGTATGTGCGTCTATAAGATTATTGGCTTGGCAAAGCTTAACACCATAAACATTACTTCCCCCATTTGAGCTTAAATTTCTTGATCAAAAATGTAAATATATTTTTATTGATTACCTAAATTTTAAAATGCTCAGAGTTGGCACACAGGGGTTAAATCGATAGGCTTTAGAGTCAAACTTGGGTTAAAAACTGCTGACTAATAACTGTGTCACCTTAGTCCTCAGTTTCATCATCTGTATCTGTTAGGGCTTTTGTGAGGAGTTACATAAGATACATAAAAAAAGCCTTAGTGTCCCAGGTTGAGAATAATTGCTCAATAAATGATAGGTGTATGTTGGTGTTTATGTTGTTTATTCTGAATTTTTCATCTTTGTAAATTTCCTATCTTATCTGATTATGATTTGGGGACTTTCTGAATTTAAGATTGGAAATTACTTCTATTAGCTTTTCTTACTGTGATCTTTAGAGATTTTGATTTTATTTTTGAGATATAAGTAACATAGCATAAACTATGCCTTTTTACAGTGTACAGTTCATGGTTTTATTATATTCAAAAGCTGTGCAACCATAAGCACCATCTAATTTCAGAATTTTTTCATCACTCCAGAAAGAAACCCCATGTTTGTTAGCCAATCTCCCTTTCCCTACCCTCTAGCAACCGCTAATCTACTTTCTGTCTCTATTGATTTGCCTATTCTGGATATTTCCTATGAATGGAGTCATACAATAAATACTGTATTATGTCAGGCTTCTTTTCCTCAGCATAATGTTTTGAAAGTTCATCCATGTTACAGGTTGCATCAGTACTTTGTTTCTTTTTGTGGCTGAATGATATTACATTATATGGTTATACCACATTTTGTTTATCTCATCAGTTGATGGACATTTGGGTTGTTTCACTTTTTGGCTCTGAATAATGTTGCTATGAGCATTTGCCTACAAGTTTCTGCATAGATGTATGTTTTCATTTCTCTTGGACATACACCTCTGAGTGGAATTGTTGGATCATTTATTTAGTTACTCTACCTTTAACTTTTTGATAAACTGCCAAACTATTTTCCCAGGTGACCATTTTATATTTTCACTAACAACGTATGACAGTTTAAATTTCTCCACATCCTCAGCAATACTTGTTACTGTCTTTTGATTATATCCATCCTAGCAGGTAAGTGGTTTCTCACTGTGTTTCAGATTTGCATTTCTCTAATGACTGATGACATTAAGCATCTTATTCAAGTGCTTATTGGCCATCTGTATATCATCTTGGGAGAAATGTCTGTTAAGATCCTTTGCTCATTTTTAATTGGGTTGTCTTCTTATTATTGACTTGTTAGGGTTCTTAAATATTCAGGATCTAGTCCTATATCAAATATATGATTTGTAAAAATTTTCTTACATTCTGTGGATTGTCTTTTCATTTTCTTGATAGTGTTCTTTTGAAGCACAATAGTTTTTAATTTTGATGAATTCAATTTATCTATTTTTTATTTTGTTGCTTGTACTTTTGATATCATATCTAACAAACCATTTTGTAATTTGAGGTCAGTTTTTCCTGTTTTCTTCATAGAGTTTTTAGTTTTAGTTCTTATATTTATGCCTTGATTCATTTTGAGTTAATTTTTGTATATGGTGTGAGGTAATGCTCCAACATCACTCTTTTACATGTGAATATCCAGTTGTTCCAGCACCATTAGTTCTTTCTCCCATTGAATTATTCTTTTTTCATTGAATTATCTTGACAGAATTCAATTTTAAGGAATTTAAAACCATAATTCCCTGTTTTCCATGATTTAAACAAAAAATTTGTCATCTTTCCTTTTGAAAGCTATGTCCTAACTGTGGAGTATAACTTGCTCTAAAATTTGGATGTGACACATTGATGCTCTAAATATTATCTTACTTTATTGGCATATTGTACCAGAGATGATAGGAAAATAGATGAGCTGGATATCTCACAGTAATACTTTTCCCCAGTGTGAAAGCATCTTTTCTTCTTTATAGAATTGATTTGATTTTATAGCACTTTATTTTAAAACACCTAAGTTGGAATTTGAGATGATTTATAATCTGTTTATGTTTTTCAATTTTATGTATGTCTTTATTTTTCTAATATCAACAATTAGTGAAAATAATGGCACAACTTGGGGGAGAGGCAAAGACTTAATTATTAAAATAATTAGTTACAGCACTGGTCAGGCCTTAATATTTCTAATCAGTTTCTTAGGATACCATGAAGAGATCCATCTGCCAAAGGAAACAAACTCAGTAGTGGCCATTTACTTTTGCTATTCTGTTAATCTTAATTTCTATAATCTCAAATTATGGAAATAGTTATATGTATTTTCACCATTGTGACTTCTCATTAAGCATCTGTTTTTTTCCGTAATTTCAGCTTAGAGATGTTGGACAAAGTTGAGCCCCCAACTATACCAGAAGGCTATGCTATGTCTGTGGCATTCCATTGTTTGCTGGACCTTGTACGTGGGATCACTAGTATGATTGAAGGAGAGTTAGGAGAGGTTGAAATAGAATGTCAGACTACAACCACTGAAGCAGTTTCTTCACGAACACAGTCATCCGAACAGCAAGAATTACAGTCAACATCAGACCAAATGGATAATGAAATAGGTATATTATTATGATTCTGTATTTTTATTTCTATTTTAAAGTAATTTGAAATTTACAGAGAAGTTACAAAAATAATAGAATTGCCATATATTCTTCATCCTGATGTTCCTGTTGTTAACACTACCATGTTTGTATTATCATTCTATTTATATACGTGTCACTATACTTTTTTCTGAACTATTTCAGAATAAGTTGCAGACATGATGCCCCATTACCCCTTAATACGTTAATGTGTATTTTCTCAAAATAAGAACTGTTTCCTACATAACTACAGTGCAATCACCATCAGAAATTTAACATCAATTCAATATGTCATCAAAATTCCATTCAAATTTTGCTATTTGCCCCAGTGATGTCCTTTATGGTCTAGAATTACATGTTGAATTCAGTTCCATGTCTCTGTACTCTCCTTCAATCTGGAACGATTCCTTAATTTTTCCTTGTTTTATATGACCTGGACATTTTTGAAGAGTACAGGGCAGTCAACTTGGGTTTGTTTTTCATTTCCTCATAACAAGATTCAATATATACATTGTTGGCAGAGCTACCACAGAAATGTTGCTGGTGACATTAACTTTTTATCATTTGGTTAATATAATGTCTGCCTTGTCTCTTCTGTCTAAAGTTAATTACTAACTTTTTGTGGAGAAAGAATTTGAGACATCTATAAAAGAGAGCTTTCCCTTCTCCCTTGTTTATTTTGTTTCATTTATTTGTGTTAGTATAGGCTCTTGGATTCCTGTTTTATTCTAAGGGTTGTAGTCTGTGATTATCATTATTTGGTTTGACACTCATTGTCCCTGACATGGCCTTTTGGGACCCCTTTCAAGCTGGTCACTATGGCCTTTTATCATCCTATGTCCTTTTGTCATTTTCTGAGCACTAACTTACTTATCTGATATAACAGAATGTTCCAAGCTCATCTTGGGTTTTTCTTGCCTCACGCAAGAGTCAGTTATTTTTCCAAGGAACCCTGGTTCCTTTTAGTGGAGAATAGTATTTAGAACTAACACATAGGCACTAGATATGCTTCTTGCTACTTGGAAAGGAAATACACACATACATGAACACACATTTCCCTACATTTAAAAACTATGTATCTCTCTATATTAAGTACCATGAGGTCACATCAGTTTTTCCAATTCCAGTTTAATACTGCAAGGTTTGCTTTTAATTTCCTATATTTATAATTTCCTTCTCCAACAGTGAAAAACTTGATCCTGTTGTATTCAATGTATTTGCTTATTTGCATAATTCCAAATGTATATAACCAGTCTCTTGGTTGAGCCAGCTTGTTAACACTGTCTCACTGCCAGCTGGTCACACAGGCCCAATGAAATGGAAGGGAATAGGAACTGATTATATATATATATATTTATATGTATATATCTATATATCTATATTATATATATATAAAATACAGATTTTAAAGATATCAGTCAGTTAACTTATATACAGAAAGATCTTATCATTGATATTTTAAAACAACTTAGTTTTAAGACTTCCTGAATTCTGAAAGTATAGTACGGTTTTGAAGTTTTAATTTATTCAGATATATTTTAAATATTAGAGCTTTAATGTTTAATGATTGCGTTGTTTTGGGAATATCTGATACATTATCAAGTGGTGAGGGAGATTTTAGAATTTGATTTATTGTCAAGTGCTGTGATGTCTTTAATAATCATTAAGCATTGTGTGTTTTTCCCTTTAAGTTAGTAGAGCTGTTTGGGAAGAAATGGTGAATGCCTGCTGGTGTGGTCTGCTTGCTGCACTCTCTCTCCTTCTTGATGCCAGGTATTAATTCTTTGTAAGTTTTATATTGCATGTGGCAGTTAAAAAAAATCCATTAAAATGGTTTACTTAAATTTGTCTTGAGAATTATTTCCTAATATTAGTTTTTTATGTGTGTAGAGAATTATTTTTCTGCCATCCTATTCTGTTGTCTGCTGTCATGTTTTATTTGATTGTCATATGTTTTAATGGAAAATACACTCCTAAAATTACAGAATGTTTGTTTCCTTTTAAGCTCTACTACTACTTCTACAGTGGTGATGATTTATATTATTCAATTATTTTGTTGTTTTTCTTCAGAATCTGAATTTACTGATTTTAAAATGCTTGATATTTTTAAGTTAAATCTTTGAGTTCTTTATCATTTTCTTCAGTAATGAATATGAGTCCTACATTGCTTCAGATTTTCAGTTCAAATTTTCAGATATGTTAAAATTCCTTACGTAGACTTATTTTGGCAATTTTAAGTATATTTTCTTAAAATTTACTGAATGCCTAATTCCATATGGTGTTTGCAGCATAATTAGAAATAAATTAATCATATCAAATAAAATACTTAATCTTTTCAGCACAGATGAAGCTGCCACTGAGAATATTTTAAAAGCTGAACTGACCATGGCTGCTCTTTGTGGAAGACTGGGCCTCGTAACTTCAAGAGATGCCTTTATAACTGCGATATGCAAAGGTTCCCTGCCTCCCCATTATGCTCTCACTGTGCTGAATACCACCACTGCGGCCACACTTTCCAGCAAATGTAAGACGTCAGCTCCTCAGAGTTCTGTTTGCCTGTACTGGGCAGCAAGGCATAGAGAAGAGATCGTTGGAATCCTGAGTTCAAACCTCTGCCTTCTCTCACTGACTCTGTGACCTCTGAGAGAAGTTGATGGCCCTGAGCCTCAGTTCCTTTCACCTTTTTAAAACAGTAGAGGTGGGAGTTGGGGGAATGATACAAATTTTAAACAACAGTGAGGTTACAAGAAGATAAATCTGGAAGTCCTTTGTAAACTGTAACATGCTATTGAAATGGGAGTGATTGGTTTTCTTTTTTTAAGGAGAACTAGTAAAACAGTAATGTGTGCTACCACTGAGATTAAGTTGATGTTTAAAAATTTCTTTTTCTTCTTGAGTACTTTGAAAACATTCAAGTTTGTTACGTGTAATATACACAAATTTCAATATGATACTTGGTTTTCAAACTGAAAAGGTGAGTATTGGTTTTTCACTTTAAGTAGAAAAGTTTACTGGGAATACGTGTTTAAAATACTTAGTATCTTAATTCTAGTTTGCTTATGAAGAAATATACCAAAGTCCTATAATTTGTTAAAGTTATATAGAAAATTACTTTACGTAATATTTAACTTGTCTTTGTTTTTGTACCTCCTGAATTTTCAAAATGTTTGCATATAGATAATATGTAACTAAATAAGTATCATAGCTGAACTTAGTTTAATCACGTTAATGCTTTAAAATATAACATTACTTTGAATGTATCATAAAAAGCATATTTTACTTATTGAGGATTCCCTTTGTGTTCTAGCGTATTCCATCCAGGGCCAGAGTGTCACAATGATCAGCCCCTCAAGCGAGTCCCACCAGCAGGTGGTGGCTGTGGGGCAGCCACTGGCCGTGCAGCCTCAAGGGACAGTGATGGTAAAGTGCTTCTTCTTTTCTTGGTTATAAATTAACTATCAAGGAAACCTTTTGTACATTTTGTGTGTGTGTTTTCCTAAATTTGTCATTATACTTTCTTTTATCGGAATGACACTTTTAAAAGAAACTGGATAAATATGCAGTGACACTATCCTAACCAACTATGATCATGCAACTTTTAAGCGAATGAATTTGTTTTATACAAAACCACCCAAGCCTGTTTTCTTAATATTTTTGCATTTTATTTAAAAATTTTGAATATGATAATACTTTTTGACAAGCTTTTAATTTTTAAGAGTGCATAACCATTCTTGCAAACATATCCTTTTTTAATATAGCTAACGTCCAAAAATATCCAGTGCATGAGGACTTTACTTAACTTGGCACACTGCCATGGGGCTGTTCTTGGAACATCATGGCAACTTGTCTTGGCAACTCTACAGGTATGTTGTAGTCCCTGGGTCAGAGGCCAGTGTTGTTTTTATATCAAGTGCTAACAGTTAAACTTAACAATGCCTACTGCTGTTTTGGGCAGGCCTCAGGAATAGATGGTAAGTATGGAAAAGGAGAAATTGGAAAAGAAAAAAGACATGGCTCATATTTCACCAAGTGATGGAATGTTCCTCATGATGGCCTGTTCTACTGCCTATCCTTGGTGTAATAAGTATTTTATATGAATATTAATTACTGTTTTAAATTTAGTTATTACTACTACTGATTTTAATTTAATTATTAGAATTTTTCTAAGTTTATAAATTTCTTTGTTTTGATTTTTTTTAATTTTACAGCATCTTGTATGGATTCTGGGATTAAAGCCTAGTAGTGGTGGTGCCTTGAAACCTGGGAGAGCTGTAGAAGGACCCAGTACAGTAAGCTCTAGTCATTCTTACTCAATTAGCACTTCCCAGAATGTTTATATGTTACATTTAATTTTATTCTTTTCTTAGGTTCTAACAACAGCAGTGATGACAGATTTACCAGTGATTTCCAATATACTTTCAAGATTGTTTGAAAGCTCACAGTAAGAGTCAGTTTCTTTAATTGATACAGACATTATTGTTAGCTGCATATTTTAGATCACAGTGTCTTATTTTTTCATTTTTATTTTAGGTATCTTGATGATGTATCGTTGCATCATTTAATAAATGCACTTTGTTCCTTATCTCTAGAAGCAATGGATATGGCCTATGGAAATAATAAGGTGTGGTATTCTACCTTTCTGTGTTAAATATGCTACATTATTTAGTTAAATAAGGTGTATACTCATTATGATCTTAGTGTTTTATAAATGGGACTTCCTTGTAGGCTCACCCTGCTTTCTTGGGTTTTATGTTTTTGCTTGTTATTTGTTGAAGTGGGAGTGAAGAGGACATTTTTTTGGCTTATGGTATGTCCCAGTATGTATTATGATTTTGAACTGTGTCTATTTCTCTTGTGTACTGGATATTTTAAAAATATTTCTATAAAGAATAATTCAACACCACATTTGTAAACAAGTTCCATAAAATATCACATAACCCTTATGATTACAATTTATGATTGGGACAATGAAAGTTTTAAATCAAGGAATATATGTCTCAGTTTCTCTTGCCTTCATTGGGATGGAAAATAAGGAACTAATCATTTCTTTCTGAAGGTAATGATTCTCCCTACATTGAAAATAAAATTTTGCTTTGTTCATTGAATGAATAGAATAGGACTTTTGAGAACATTTCTTTCTATACTCAAAATACCATTTTTTGTTAAATTTGGAAAGCACAGGAATATTTGGGTCTATTTATATCTTAGAAAATATTTAAAATAAAATGCTTTCTACACTTTAGGATGAATAAATACAGTAGTTGGATCATTTACAAATAAGTGAAGACACCCAGAAAATGACTGAAAAAACAGAGAATGCAGCTTGTGATTTGTTTAACACCTGTCTGAAGGATCCAAAATTGTCTGCCTAGTCCTTAATTATAATTCTTTGTACTATGGCGTGTCATCTTCACTCTTGTGACTCATTTAAAGATTAGCCAATAAGATCTTATTAGGGCAAAGTTTTGCATATTATAGCACATAGCTAGAGAATTAACATAATCATGCAGGTGTTGGGAAATATATATTATAGTTTACTTCAAATCAAGGCAAGAATAATATACAGTGAAGTGATCAAATTCTTAATACCTTCAATAATCCTACATCCCTAAGATTAATTCTTAATGCAAAAGTATAATATTTTTAAAAGAGTTTTAAAAAATGTTTAACTGAGCAAGTGTATATATGGTAATAGTTTGAGTATTTATGTATTCATTTAACAAATACAGTAAGTTTACTATATGCATGTCACTCTTCTAGAAAATACAAAGGAAATATAAGATTTCTGCTTTCAAAGAGCATATAAGCCACTTCGCTCATGGATAAGTAGCAGTTAAGGTGCTAAAGGAGTGGTAAAAGAGTCTAAATAAATGGTATAGATAGTAAGTGATAGGAGACATACTCTCTGATCCTTATTGCCATATTACGTAAGATATTTTTAGTACATACTAAGTTGAATTAAGACTAATAAAGATCAGTTAGTGTGATTGGACCTGGATATTCAAGGAATGGTAGGATTTAGGTAGGAAAGGACAAGTTCATGGATGTTAGAAAGAAAAACATGTTACAGGAAGTCAAGATCAATGAAGATTGAGAAAAAAAGAAGAGATTTGAGTATTATTATTGTTCCTCTTGAACAGTACAATTTCAAGAGAGTTGTAAGAATAAATGTGATATTTCAGGGAGGCTTGGAAGGAACAGATGTTGAGAAAATGAATACAGTGAGACAGAAATGATTTCCCTGAAAATAGATTCACATTTCTTCATTTTAGGATTCAGTTTTGTAAAATGATGTGGTGAATATGGGCTGGAAATAAAAGTGTTTTAAAGTCTTCAATTATAAACTTTATAAAAAATATTTTTAGATGAAGGTAAAAAACAGTTTATTATTTGGTTGTACTTTCTATATAAGTTATTATAAATATTCAGATATTAAAATAAATAGAAACTTCAGTATTTATCTACATTTTTTTTAAAGTTTATCAATGTCACCTTTTCTGAGTGAGTTAAATATCTTAGGAATTAAAATGTACATACCATTTTTCTTTAGCTGTGGCTTTAAAGTGACCAGTTGTCCCATTTTTGGTCCTCATTTCAGGAATTTGTGCTAGTTAAGGTAGCTGACGGTAAAGCTTGCAAATTCTTCTTAGAAGGGGGTGATGTTGATGCTACTTGTGCAGGCATATTACCAAGCTCAGTATAAAAGTAATAAAACAGCTATTATTCTTTGTTTACTGTATGTTAGGTACTAACTTAACATTATTTTATTTAATCATTTAAAACAACTCTGTCAAGTTCAGTAGTAGTATCCCCTTTTTACAGATGAAACAAAAAAATAGCTTAAATAACCTACCTGGGGTCACCTATTAGTAATTGGTAGAGCTTTGATTCGAAGTCGCATATGTATCATTTGGGTATGAGAAATATGTATTCTTTTAAATGCTGCATGATTCCTCTGAACATCCTCATTAGAAAAAGGAGAAAGGGAAGGAAGTAACATTAGGCAACATTATGGGGACTTAATATCTGGCAGGCACTTTCTAACATGAGGTCATTTCTGTATGTTATTATCTCCATTTTATAGATTTAAAAAAATTAGTAACCATAAAAAAGAATGAAATTTTGCCATTTGCAACAACATGAATGGACCCAGAGGGATTATGCTTAGTGAAATAGCTCAGACAGAGAAAGACAAATACTATATGTTATCACTAATCTGTGGGATCTAAAAAATAAAACAGGGGGTTGGGGTGTAGCTCAGTGGTAGAGCATGTGCTTAGCATGCATGAGATCCTGGGTTTAACCCCCAGTACCTCCATTAAAAAAAATTTAAAAATAAAGCAAATCTGTGAATATAATAATAATAAAAGAAACAGACTCAAAGGGAGAATAAACTAGTAGTTACTAGTGGGGAGAGGAAAGGACGAAGGGGCAATATAGGGTAAAGGAAGTAAGATATAAACTACTATGTAGGTATAAACTAAGTTATAAGGATATATTGTACAACACAGGGAATATAGCCAATATTTTATAATAACTATAAATGAAGTATAATCTAGAAATTTTGAATTACTATATTGTACATCTGAAACTAATACAATATTATAAGTCAACTTCACCTCAATAAGAAAATTAAATTACTCATGGCTGTTAAGTGATAGTGTTGAGATAAGTTGTCAGGCAGTTAAAAATTCTCAGACTTAACTACTGTATCATATTGTCTCTAGAATGAATTTTTCTACCACACAATATTTTTTAGGGTACCTTCAGTGTTACCGCATGCAGGAAGGGTCAACCTGACCATATTTGTCTTAAAACCCCAATGTACTTGGTTCAACGGCTTCTGCTAGGAAAGAAAGATAGTATCATACATTTCCATGTTAGATTTTATTTAGCACTGTAAAAATGTTAAGAATATAAAATAATTTAAAGATCTTTTTCTTTAAAAATTATAAAATTATTATGCTCATAATTTGCTTTTTTAATTTCAGTTGTCTTTTCTTTTTTCTAATGCATTGTCTCCATTTGAAGTACCACAGTTAGTCATCAGAAGATTCTCATGGTTTTAGCCAGCTTTGTTTGCAT